TGCATATAATACCCTCAAAGCGTAGTGCTGAGGGTTGTAGAAATGTAGAAAATTTTCAATTCAAAATTGTAGATCAAATTAAAAAAAAATCGCATGCGATAAAAAATATGACAAAATTGAGGGGTGTAAAAATGTAGAAAATTTTCAATTCAAAATTTCATGTAAAATTAAAAAAAAAATCGCATGCTATAAAAAATATGACAAAAATTGAGAAAAAATGGAACAACAGAAATTCACTCATTTATTGGAATGTTTTTCCGCGATTTTCTTAGATTTTATCCTTTTCTGGGCAGAGATCATTCCGAATTGATGGGAATTGTGAAATTTTTTCTGTTGTTGGTCCATTTCAACCCCCAAGTATTTTGCAATCATCTTCAAAAACAATAGGGTTCTATTCTGACCCTAACCCCATCCCCATTTTCAATTTCGTGAGGATCGGGCAAATTAGCATGGACAGACGGACGAATGGACGGACATACATAGCTAGATCGACTCAGCTCGGCGAGATAGGAAGATCCATATATACTTTCAGGTGTGGGAAATCAATATTTCGAGGTGTTACATAATTTTTGGCCCAATCAAATTTACAATACCCCCAACACATAGTGTTATAGACTATAAATATTATTCCATATTCAATATGAAACATATTGAATCATATTCAAACAGCTGCAAATTGACACATAATTTATGTCGCCAGCAGTAGCACATGGTGGTCATATTCAAGGATAACAACTAAATCCGGTTGTGTATCAATACTCTTATTGAGATGTGCATTTTGGCTACAGTCTTTTTTTTTTTCAAAAAAAGTGTTATCGAAAAATCCCAACCATTTGGGTTACCACGAAGGACAAAATTAAGTGAATTATGCCAATGTTACCAAAACCACACCTCAAACACAAAGAAAAAGCTGAAAAAACAAAACGCAAAAACAAAAGACTTAAGAAACAAACTTTGCCTCACTACTGCTGCTACTGCTGCCTGTCGCTTCTGGCCATACTTCCAATGCAATCATCTTCATCATCACTTTGCAATGGATGCACTCTTGGCCATCATTGCTCACTTGAGGCAAACCAGGTATTAATGAATTACTATCAATATGTTGTTGTAATTATGAAAACATCTTTTGACTAATTGCCTAAATCTGTCAATTAAATGTCAAACTTAAGTAGAAAAGAAAAAATGCCCCCCTCCCCCAAAAACAAAATAAGATAACAATATTTATGAACAACTTTGTTAAAAATTCTTTTAGCAAAATAATATGCAATTAAAAAAAAGAAATAAAACTCATATCAGCGGGAGAACAGAAATATTTTTAATGTGGTATAATCTCCAACACAAAATCACAACAAATAGCCACCACAATTTACATAGGTAGGTAGAGGGAAGCAGCCAAAACCATCAAACCAGCGACATTTAATAGAAATAAAAAACTTTTTATGACAAGTCTCGTAAAATATTTAACAAGTGTCAAATGTGTGTTTACTTTGCGGAACTTGTTAGCGCACTAATGTTGCTCTTAGGTATTTAGATTGCATAAATTGTATGCGGGAATTATGTGAATAATACACTGGGAGGATTTTGGAATAAAGTTGGATTAAATTGAAAAGTATTTCGATCTATAGAAGACCTATAGAATGTCCGTTATAGGGTCCTCTATATGAGAGACCTTTAAAGGATCTCCTAAAATTTAAAAACCTATAGAAAATCTTACATCTATTGAACGTCTATGGAAGTTCATTTCTCCTAAGGAGGTTTGAAGATTGTCCTTCGCCTAAAGGAGGCTTAAAGAAGGCCTTCTAGGAATAGAAGACCAGTAGGAGGTCTTTTAGGAATATAATAAATGTTGGGCGTGTTGTTGGTCCGCTATGTTTTGGAGACCTGTAGAAGATCTTCTATGTTTAGAAGGCCTCTTGAAGGTATTCTATATTTAGAAGACCTATATAGGGTCTTTCATGTTCAGAAGACCCTAAAAACGTTTTCCATTTTCAGCTGACCTGTAGAAGTTTTTTCCTATGTTTAGCTGACCTGCAGAAGGTTTTTCAATGTTAAGAAGTCCTGTGGGAGGTCTTCTATGTTCAGAAGACATGTGAAGGTCTTCTATGTTTAGAAGACCTATGTTTGGTAGACCTGTAGTAGGTCTTATATTTTTAGAATAACTGTAGAAGGTACTCTATGTGTAGAAGACCTGTAGAAGGTCTTCTATCTTTAGGAGACATGTTGACGGTCTTCTATGTATAGAGAACCTTTCTGACCTTCTGCCTTCTATTTTTAGAAAACCTGAATGCATGTATGGAGACATGTAGAAGTTCTATATTTAAGAGACCTGTGGAAGGACTTATGCCATGTTTACGTTAGAACTTTTTGTAGGGTTAACCTACTTTGAGAGGATTTATTTGAAGTAAAAGTAATGGGTATGACAATTCAAATCCAAATCCAGTGGGTTAACCCTCATATATATAAACGTACTATTATATTTAGGGAGACGTGTAGGAGGTATTCTATATTAGAAGACCTGCGATAGTTCTTCTTTATTTCGAATATCTGTGAAAGGTCTTATAGGTTTAGGAGTCCTATTGAAGGACCTATTGAAGTTTAGGTCCTATTGAAGTTTAGAAGTCCTGTCGATCCTATGTTTGGAAGTCCTGTTGAAGGTCTTCTATGTTCAGAAGACCTGTGAAAGGTCTTCTATATTTAGAACACCTGTGGAATGTCTTCTATGTTTAGGAGATCTAAGGTCTTTTAAGTTAAGGTGACATATTGAAGGACCTGCAAGTTTAGATGTCCTGTGGAAGGACTTCTATGTTTAGAAACTTATAGTAGGTCTTCTATATTTCCAAGACCTGTAGTAGCTCTTCTATAGACCTCTTCGAAGACCTAAAAACGGATATTCAGAAGGTCTTCTATGCTTATATGACCTGTCGAAATTCTTCTATATTTAGAAGACCTGTGGAAGGTATTCTATGTTTAAAAGGTCTCTAAAAGCTCTTCTATGTATGAAAGGCCTCTTGAAAGACTTCTATGTTTGGAACGTCCCTTGAAGATCGTCTATTTTTTAGAAGGTCTCTTGAAGGTCTTCTATGTTCAAAAGACCCATACAGGTTTTTCTATGATCAGAAAATTATTGGATGGACTTCTATGTTTCGGAGACCTGTGGAACGTCTTCTATGTTTAGGTGACCTGTAATAGGTCTTCTATATTTATAAGACCTCCGGAATATATTCTATCTTTAGAAGGACTCTAGAAGCTCTTCTTGAAGGTTTTCTATTTTTTAGAAGGTCTAGTGAAAGTGTTCTATTTTTTGAAAGGTCTCTTGAAGGTCTTCTATGTTCAAATGACCCATACAGGTTCTTCTATGATCAGGAGACCTTTCGAAGGTATTCTATGTTTCGGAGCCCTGTGGAAGGTCTTCTATGTTTAGAAGACCTATAAAAGCTCTTCTCATTTAGTGGACCAGTAATAAATCTTCTATGCTCAAAAGACCTGTATTTATATTTTTTCTGAACTGAAGGCAACAATTCGGAAAAAAAAACCAATGAGTAGTACACCTATTTTACTACCGGCCTCAGCATGGGCTTAGGGCTGTGCCAAAACCTACTACTTTGGGCGCCACAACAAAAGGTGGTTTGTTTTTTGGATCAATTTCAACACCTAAGGACTTGAATCCTTACTTTAAGTGCAGTAAAAATCAGCTGCTGGAGAAACATCTCAATTGAATCCCTTCTGCATCCAGAAATTACAGAGTTTTTGAGATTATCAAACAATGTGTATCATATTCCATGAAACACGTAAACCAATCAACGTTGGGCGCCACAACAAAACTTGATCTGTTTTTTGGACCAACTTTAACACTTAAGGACTTAAATTCGAGTGCTGTAAAAATCAGCAGCTAAAATGGTTGGTATTTTAAATATCCAAACAATTTGGGAGACCATTTTTCAAAATTATGCTGAAATATTAACTGCAGTTTATACGTCCGCATTATGGAAATATATGGCGCTTGAATTTTCAAATTTTTATACGTAAAAATTTTCAAACATATTTTTGGAGATCAATATTTTTTTTAATTAATATAATTAAAAAATATTTCCACGCCATTTATTATTAAAATAATAATATTCCTAAAAACATCCTAAGTAAACAATTTTATTTTTTTCATTTCCAAGAAACACTTAATATCTGAGAACACAGCAATTTTTTTCGGTGTATTTTTTCCGAACATATTTTTAAATATTTTTTATTGTTCATATTTTTTTCGAATATCATAGCATTTATTCCTTCTAACATCTGACACATTTATTGCATATAAAACAAAATGCAGCATAGAGTTCATGATCAGCATGTTTTGCAGTGTCTTTTGATTTGTGATTTTTTTTATTCGCTGTTTGCAAAATTTCCAAAATATATTTTTCTTTTGCACTTTTGTGGCAATTTTCATGTTGGCACAATTATCAACTTCAAATACACGATCGATCGCATACATATAGTCTGTTAACACCAAAATTGTAGAGTTTGTCTTTTTTTTTTTTTTTTTTTGATTTGGAAAATTGCTAAATGATTGATTTAACGTTTGATTTGAAGATGCACAACAACTCGAAGTACATTTATATGGGTGTTTTTGGATTTTACTCCTAACTTTGTGTTTGCTTTGCTGGTTTCCAGCTAAATGTCAGCATGTGTGTGCACAGTCGGTAGTTGTAGAGGCAGTTGGGCAGAAATTCAATTTGTAAATATTTAAATGCACAAATGTCCAAATACGGCTGGGTATCATCTGGCATGGCAATGGCCAGTTGGGTTTTGGCGGCATTGAGTTATTTCAAATTAAAAAAAAAAATCACAAATAATTTTCAAAGCATCACTTGGTAGTGTTCAGTTTTTATTTTCTTTTTAAATGTTTAATTTCAGTTTTTTATTTTCAAATCAGTTTTTTTGTAACAGTCACTTATTTGAAATATTTATTTATTTTTATTATTTTTTGAAAATTCTTTTCTTTTTATTACCATTTTTGAGCACAAATTGTTGCTTTTTCTAATTCCGTTTTTCGCTTTGTTTTATAATCCTTCTTTGATGATAAGATAATCCTTTTTAGTAGCAAACACCGACGACTATCGTATCAGAATTCAATACTGCAAATTGAACTCGATCGATTATCGTTTCTAAATGTCCACACAATTCTATATATTTTTTTTTCTCAAGCTTTGCGGCTTGTGGGCCGGGATGGTGTTGTTGTTTTCTTTTTTTGCGAGGGAGGAAAGAACACCTCTTCTGTTGGTTCGACACTTAAAAGGTTCGAGAGTGGGTTACCAACTAAACATCTTAAACTTATAGATTTTCTATATATACCCCTAGCAGCAGAGGCGAGTAAGTTTTTGGCTATAAGCTTGGGCGACAACTGTTGGCTCTGGGTAACACTTTGACCGATTGAAGATCACCAGCTAAAGCGCGCAAATATTTTTGTTGTTGTCGTTTACTCTCTCTGTGTTTTGATGTCGATGCTCATCAGATGGCAGCGTGCGAAGAGTAGCATCTTCTTTGAATATATTTTCTTGTTGTTGTTGTTTTTGTTTTCTTTTGTTTGTTTCTTGGTCCAAAAAAAACAACAAAAGTGGTATTGAAATTTTGACTGACTAGCAGCAGCGGCAGCAACAGCCAACAGCCTAGCCAGCTAGGTGGCTTGCTAGCTTGTTGAGCGTCTTTGCCAAAGCAGCTAAATAGCGAGACAACTCGATTATCTTGTCTGGACACACCAGTTGATTTGTGTTTTTTTTTTTCTTTATTTTGTATAAATTACCCTTCACCCTAAAATGATGGGCATACTGACTTTATCAAAACGTTTGCATTTACCTGCAACATAAATGGGAGAGATGGGACTTCGCCATACTGCGGAAGTCAAATGTGCGCTATAGGAAAACGTGGAAATAAATATTCATTGTAGACAGATCCATGAAAATATATGGCAATAATCATCAAAATACCGAATATCGAGAGGTACCGTTATATGTGGGCTATACCAAAACGTGGACCGATATATCTAATTTTCAATACCAACCATCCTAGACACAATAGAAATTGTTTTGTCAACGTTTGAAGATCTACGTCAAATAATGTAGGCTGTGTCGTGACAGACAGACGGAAATCGTTTAATCGACTTAGAATTTTATGCTGATTATGAATATATAGACTTTATGGGGTCTACAACGAACATTTAGGGATGTTACAAACGGAATGACAAAGTTAGGGTATATTAACTTTGTCATTCCTTTCCAAGGTGGAGGGTATAAAAATGTTTATTCCGTTGTGGCGTAGGTACCAGAAGGAGGGGTATTCCATCTTCACATCAGATTGTGTGTTAATAAAAATAATTGGGATGTGTGAAATTTAAAATGAATCATATGCTTATTTCGCATTTTATGTGCTTCATGGTTATTGAAAATGCTGACCCTTTGTGGGGAGGTACCAGAAGAGGTGGGCCGATATTTACCATATCCACGCCGGAGCTTGTGTTAATAAAATATTGGTATGTGTGAAATTAATAAAATATATATTATTTATTAAAAATGTTGACCCTTGATGTAGTTGGCCGATTTTGTCTTTTTTCGCACCTGACCTAGCATTCATAAAAATATTGTGATTTGCAACGATTGCATAAAATTGTATGGTCCTTTCTTGTTCATTAAGTAAAATATTTACTGTGAAAATTTTGACATGTTGTTGGGGAGGTACCATAAGCCCCACGGTCCTAACTCATTTGATAATAATATCACGATGTACCAAGTTTGGATCAAATCGGGCGAACCAGTCAGCCACACATACGAGCGGACACACCGAGATCGACTCCAAATATTCTGAAACGAACTAGTTCTAACGATACCTAGGGTCTAAAACCTTTATTTGGATTGGGCACGTTTTGGCCATTTTAAATGGTATATACTCTTTCTAGCCATATGGTTGAGGGGATAAAAACGGTCCGCTTCGGGAAGTACTGTGGTGTTCCCCGAATATCAAGGAGGAACTGTCGTAAGAGCCTAGCCACTTTTCTGTTTGAAACTAACATTTCTCTTCGTCTAACCTAGAAATCATAGCCACAACCTGTTTGTCTTCATTATCTTATGACACTGAATTCACCCTTAAGCCAGCACCCCATTTTAGCGTGTATCTCTATCAGAAAATGTATCCACTTCCTGAAACTGTGGCATCTCACGGTATGTTATCGTGATAAACAAAAGAAAACCAACATCCTGGAAGAAATTGGCTATGCTAATATAAACTATATATAAACGATCTATCAACATTTAGCTTTAGAACAGTTATAGTTTGATTTCAGAGGGAACTAATATATGGGAGGCATATCCAATTTTTAATCGACTTTCACTTAATTTGATGCATAATATCTCTCCGAGAAGAATTTTATTAAAAAATATGTATCGGAGCCGAGTACCACGAAATGGAAACGTACGTCCCGAAATTCAATCCATTTGCGCTGATATTAGCCATTATTTGAACAATAAACCTGAAGTCCGATTAAAGATAAATATGGGAGCTACATCCAAATCTTAGCCGTTTGGCAAAGGTATTTCAGAGCTCCATAAGATAGCTGGTACCAAATATCATTGTTGTCGAATTCATATTACGAATGTGAGGGACTTAAAAACCAAATCAAATGAAACATATATATGGGAGCTATAGCTATATCTGAACCGATTTTCTCAGATTTGATGTACTTGTTTCTAGACTGAATTCGGTCGGATTTACCAAAATGCAGGTCATTAGGACTTATATTGGCCATTTGACACACAATTAACCCGAAAACGATTGAAGATATATATGGCTGCTGTATTCAAATCTGGTCCAATCTTGATAAAATTTGGCAGAAATATTTTCGAGCTCTATACGATGTCTGGTACCAAATATCATTGTTGTCGAATGCATATTACGCATGTGAGGGACTTAAAACCCCAAATCGGTTGAAACATATATATGGGACCTATGGCTATATCGGAACCGATTTTCCCCAAATTTGATGTACTTGCTTCTAGACTGAATTTGGTGGGATGTACAAGACTCAGGTCATGAAGACTTATATTGATCATTTGGTGCACAATTAACCCAAAATCGCTAATCTAAATCTGATCCGAATATTACTAATTTCAATAGAGTTCGTCCTTGGGCCAAACAAATATTGTTTGCAACATTTCATCTCAATCGGATAATGAATGCGATCTGCATATTGTTCACAAGAATACATGGACGGAAGGACGGACGGACGAACTGACATGCATAAATCGACTCAGAAAGTGATTCTATAAATATCCTCAGAAGTAACTATCTCGCTTCCTTCTCCCTGTTACAAACAAATGCACAAAGACATAATACCCTTACCACTAAATGGTGTAGGGTATAAAAATTACTTGAAATCTGATATCGCGATTTTCCTATGGTTTTGCTTTCGAAATATGATTTGATTTTTGAATTTCGTACAAAAGTGGATCGATAATGTGACAGGTCACTTTTTTCATATTTTTAAAATTTATTATTCTTAAAAATATCGTAAATCGGGGAGTTATGTCCAATTTAATATATTTTTTACTACGGGAAGGGGTTCGTCAATGTTATTAATTTTGCAAACGGCCTAATTCTGAGATAAATACTAGATTTATACGCGATGATTGCTAAATTGTTGAAAATTGTATATAAATTGCGGAAGATATCGTTGCGACTACTATAGAAGAATCGAAAAGTTTATATTTTCCACGCTACGATTCAGGCCATAAAAAAATTGAAATTTTGAACAAGAGATCAATTTCATTTGTAGCGTATGTCAAATTCGAATTCGCTCAATTTATCTTTATTTTGTTCTCTTCTTTTGGTTTTGCTGAAGATCAGCGTTTATCGCAACATCCAACAGATCGAAATCTAACCTCTCCGCTGTTAATTGTTTATCTATGTAGGCATTATGTTTTACACAGACTTCTACAACAAAACAAACAAACAAATAAATAAAATTATGCTAAATTATTATAGTTATCAAATCAACATGTTTTCATCTATTCTTTAAGTTTTGTTTTAGTTTCAAAATTGAACATTTAACTATTTTCAACATGCCATGATATTCTTAATTATTTAAAGTGTTCTTCGGGGCATACTATTTTGGTGCTTCATAAACGTTTATGGCAAATTTGAATATTTTGAAGGATTAGGAGGAAATATAGAAAAATCTTATATTATGTGTTTTATTTTTTGGCGGATTTTCCGGTAGAGCTCATAAGGGTACTTGTGGTGAGATGTGGGAGTTCTATTTCTATTTTCTATTCTATTTTAATGTTTTTTTTTTTTCTAATGTGTGAAAATGATTTTTTGAACATTTTGAAAATGTTTGAAACCATTTCAACTAACAAAAACAAATCCTAGAATTACCCAAAATTCTATCCTACAAAGATATTCAGATAAAAATCACGTTATGAAGACAAATACAGCCGTTAAACAACTTTGTTGAAGTCGTTAACTGAGTGTCATCGAAAAGAAACACACACACAAATATTAAAAAAAAACAATCTTCATTATAAATGTTAATGAAATAGCTTTTGGTCGCTTAAAAGTAATCAAATCCGTTTAAATGAATGAATTGCTGATTTTCAGGTTCTTATTTGTTTTAATATTTAATCTGAGTCAAGCTTCTTTCTTCTAAGCAAACTTTGAAGATTTTAGATGGTACAGCAATTTTTTTGCCCGACAAAAATATAATATCATTTTGTTATCACTTTCGCTAAGTTTAATTAAATTTTAGAGTAATTTAATTGAAAGTGAAAATATCATTTTCGAAAATTCTTGGCATTATATTCTTTTGGCGAAGCTAATAGGGAGCTATAATTTAAAATAAATTTAAATTTTAAGACTTAAAACCGATTTGTATGGGATTTTTATTAGAAAGTAAATTTGTAAAGAGAAAGCAAATTTGACAGTTGTCTCTATTTTCGCACCAAAGAGAACATTTTTTTGTTCAAACTCTCCGACAATACCTTGCTGAGAAGAAGACGTTTTTAAATCAATTGGGAGATTCATACAACAACTTGAACTGATTTCCTGGGAAACGCCATACGACCACAGCCCGTCCATTCATCAATAAAATCCTAATCAAATTTGATCTCAGGGTAATAACGGGATTAGATAGGCCTATTGGAATAAGTGCAACATGTTAATTTATAAAACTCAAAAGAGGTGTATAGAGATCATGTAGACATACGTGACACAGTGGTTCAAAATCTTTTTTATTGGCCAAATTGTATAGCTATTGAACGGATCGAAATTTTGAATAGGCAAGAGCTAGACTGCTTTCCAATGGACGCTGGGAATTCAAGATCAAATGTCA